CCTCTAGGAGGGAAGCTGCAAGGATGGAGGGGCGGAGTGGAGGGAGGAGGGGCCTGCCCCTCCCCTTTCGTCCCCCCCAGGCCGAGGAAGCGCGAAAGTCTGGAGATTCGTCACCTCTGACCAATCGCAGAAAGTTTGAAGGCCAATTTTTGTGTTTTGATCTTCTTTCTGAGATTCGTAGATCGGCGGTTGGAGAGGGCCCGCTTTGCCCCCCCCCAGATTTGGCGCGATCTCCACCTTGCGTTCAACTTGTGTTCTGCATGCCGGTCAGAGGTGAAGATTCGACGCCGACTCTCGGCAGCGGCTGCGGTAAGCAGCGCAGGCACACCGGTTTAGTGCACCGGCCTCCGCACCTCATTGCCCACCAAACCACCCCAACCCAACCCGAAGGCCCTGATCTGCCCTCCTTTACCAGTGGGAGGGGGCGTCGGGGAGCATGGAAGAAGCACACATGGAGCCCGTACCCCCCAAACCCGAAATTTGGGTCTTCGGGTTGGGTTGGGGTGGCCTGGTAGGTAGTCAGTACCAGTACTCTGCCCCTGCGGGAGCCCTCAAAGTTTGAACGCTGCCTACCATCATGTCCCGCTCCATGGAGATGTACCGTGCAGCAGGCGCTGAAGCCGTAAAGGCTTGGGCGAAGTGCACAGGCACGGATGCGCAAACGAGTAAAAACATCGAGCGAGGATCCACATCTGCTTTCGCGCGACACCCGCGACAGCACTCCTGCAACAGAGCACCATGACCAGCCTGCGGACCACGCCTCTCTGCTACTGATCTGCTCAGGCGCTCGGCATGCCCAGGCATCTCCTGACGACTCATATCAAGCCACTCCCACACCGTGGGTGGGAGAAGCACGCATGGCATTCCAAGCAATCGCTTTCCCATGGTCCCAAGGGCTGCCTGGAGGATACCTTCGGCAACAGGTGGGTTCATTCACGGATATGGGAGCAAGTCAGTTTCGTTACACTGGAGGCTTGCCACGGAATGTCCTTGAGTGGTGGCTCCAGTTGCACAGAGTACGATTGAGGGAAGAATAGTTCAGCCAGCACGCATGTAGAGGATAATGTTTACGCAAACCAGTGCAGCCATCCATATTTTGTTCGAGCTGATCGTCGTCCATCGTTTGAGTCGGCCTAACAATTTGGCCCCGCGCCGATTCAGGGTGCGATGGTCTAAGTACGTAACAATATCTTGACACCAAGGCTCCCCAGAGCGCGGTGACGTACAAGCTCTTAACAGCAAGGCTCCCAAGAGCGAGCGGCAACGTAAAAGACTCTAAACACCAAGGCTCCCAACAGAGAGCGCTGACGTAACAAGCTCGTAACACCAAGGCTCCCAAGAGCGAAGGGTGCCGTGAAGCGCTCGTTCCGTCCCCGTGCTGGCCCAGGTAACAGAAAGAGCACGGTACGAGTGATGACGGTCTGGTAGGGCGAAGCCTTCCAGGGAGGGGTCCAGGGGAGATGCGAAGCGCGTGAGGGTCGGATGACGGAAAGCGCGCTTCGTCGCGATCCGTTAGTCGGGAGAAATAAGGGGCGGTGTGGGGGGTGGCGGGGGCGGGCCCAGATGACGAAAAGCGCGCTTCGTCGCGATCCGTTAGTCTGGAGAAATAACAAGGGGGGGGGCGGGGGGGGAGGCCCAGAGTCTAATGGCCCGTTTCTTTTGTTTTTTGTTTCGGGTGAAGCGGTTCCCAGGCGGCTCCCATTGCCTATTTCTTCGTATTTGTTCTGGTGAACCTGCCAGAGGGCCCCAAGACGGCCCAAGAGGGCCCCATAACGGCTTCAGAGGGCCCCAAGGCGGCCCCAAAAAGAACTCCAGATGGCCTCCAGACGGTCCAAGAGAGTCTCGAGACGGCTCCAGAGGCCCATCAAGAGGCCCCCGAGAGGGCCTCAGGAGGCCAAAACCATAAATTGCCTCATGGCTTTTGTATGCGTTTCGGGTTCTCCCCTTTTCAGCCCCAGAAGGGCCAGGCGGCCCAAGAGGCCCCAAAGCTCGTCCCAAGACGGCCCCAGAGGCGCCCCAAGGTGGCCCGAAACGGTCCAAGAGGGCCCCTAGACGGGCCCAAGGCGGTCCAAGAGGCCCCAACGATCGTCCCAAGACGGCCTCAGAGGCCCCCCAAAGGTGGCGAACACTGTCCAAGATGTCCCCGAGACGGCCCAAGAGGGCCCCAAGACGGCCCAAGAGGGCCCCCAGACGGCCCCAAGAGAGCCCAAAGGGGGCCCCAAGAGGCTCCCAAGCGGGCCCGAAGAGGCGGTATGGGGTCTGGGCGGCTTGGGTGTAGGGACTGGGCTGGCCCAAAGACGGCCCAAGAGTCTCAAAACGTGGTTTATCGCGCTCGAGTGCCTTCCCAAGATACCAACACGCCCTAGTTCCCTCTAAAGAGGCCTCCTGCGGCTTCCAGATAGCCCTAGAGGGCGCCCGACATCTCGCGCTCTGAAAGTAAGTGCGCGTTCCGTCCCCGCGCCAAGCAGGTGACGGAAAGCGCGCGTAGCGTGCGATCCGTTAGCCGGAAGAAATGAAATGAGGGGGAGCTCGAGGGGGGTGGCATCTGCATTGCAGGGTCTATTGGCCCGCCCTTTTTCCTGTTAACGGAGCCCTTAACAGGGAACATCTGGTGCTCTACTGGCCCGCCCGTTTCCCTGTTAACGGACCGTCAACAGTGAAATTGTACGCTCGGGCACCCCTGTTCCTTCTTAACGGAGCCCTTAACAGGGAAAATCGGGTGCTTAACAGGGAAACTCTGATGAAGGACGCGTTTTTCCCTGTTAACGGATAGTTAACAGGGGAATTGCACGCTCAGGTCCAATGGCGGCAACGTGAACATCTCTGAACACCGAGGCTCCCAAGAGCGATCAGTGACGTAAACAAGCTGAGAAGACCAAGGCTCCCAACGGAGAGCGGTGACGTAACAAGTTTTTGACACCGGGGCCCGAAACGGGCGGCAACGTAAGCTCCGCATAAGCTCCGCGTAGCCTTCGCGTAAGCGCGTGAAGTCCTCGTACATTTGAGGTACCCTGAAGACAGCCCATGAGAGGCCAAGCGTCCTCCAAGACTGTCCAAGATGCCTCCAAGACGACCCAAGAGGCCAGAGGCCCGTAAGATCGCCCCAAGATGGCCCAAGATACCCCCAAGACGGCCCCAAGACGTGTTCGAACATCTGCACGTATGCAGACGGCTTCAACGGCCTCCAAGACGGCGTAGAGAGGCCCAGATGGGCCCGAGGACGGCCCAAGAGCGATCCAGATAGCCCACGACGGCCTCAATACGGCTAAAGAGGTCTCCAGGACCCCCCCCCCCCCGAGCACCGATGGGCGGTCCAAGCGGGAAAAGACAACGAAAGCAGGGTTTTCGCCGCCTGGGGAGGGGGCGCCCTTGGCCCCGCCCTACCTGCATAAGCTCCTCGCCAACTTAAGGCACCTCCAAGACGGCGTGAGAAAGGCCCAGACGGGACCGAAGACGGCCCAAGAGCAATCCAAGATAGCCCAAGATGGCCTCAGCACAGTCCAAGAGGTCTCCAAGACACCCCAAGCGGCACCCGAGAGGACCCCCAAATGTGTTGAAAGGACGAATAAACCATTGTTGCCTTTAGGTTTATGAAGGTTTTCCAGCTTCTCGCCTTTTCGGGCAAGAACGGCCCGATACAGCTCCAGAGCCCCCCGAGATTGTGCCATGACGGCCCGAGAGGCTCCCAAGAGAGCCTGAGGACGGCCCAGAAGGGCCCCAAGAGGGCCTAAGAGAGCCACAAGACGGCCCAAGGACCTAAGGAGGGCCTGGGAGACGCCCAAGATGCTCCCGAGAGACAGGATGTCGTCGTCATCATCATCAACAGTATTATCCTAATCTTCATTCGTGCTTGATCGCGCTCTAGTGCCTTCCCAAGATACCAAGACGCCCTGGTTCCCCCTCAAGAGGCCTCCTGCAGCTTCGAGATAGCCCTAGAGGGCGCCCAATATGCCACCAAGATGCCCCAAGAGAGCCTCCAGACGTGGAGACAGAGAGAAAGAACGGGCAAGCCAGCGACATCTCGCGCTCTGAAAGTAAATGCGCGTTCCGTCCCCATGCCAAGCAGGTGACGGAAAGGGCGAGGCACGAGTAATGACGTTGAGTTGGGGCGAAGCCTTCTAGGGAGGGGTCCAGGGGAGGGGCGAGGCCCGGGCACAATGGTCTAATGGCCCATACATCGTGGATGAAAGTGCGAAGCGGATTGCACGCTCACATCGCAAGCTCCGCAAACGTCGTCTCGTGCGGAAACATCGGTATCCGCCAATCTGAATGCACGGAGGAAGCACGGTTCCAGGATATTGGGAAAATCATGAATAGCATAATTTCGTTGTTTTGTAAGTTCTTTGGCCGACGGAGCCCAGGCGGTCTTCCATGAACCGGTCAAGGGGCTAGGTCAGATCCAGAAGTAGCCCGGTTCCACGATTCCATGTCGAGCTGTGCGCACTCACCTTGGCGAAATGAACGTAACCATTCGACAACTTTGACACGTTCGTCTCACCATAGGAGTACTTGCAACCATTTGGGCGCGGAAAACACAACAGGTATCGGGATAGCATTGGTCTGGCTCCGTGGATGTGACCATGCAGAGCCAGCCCTGGAGCCGTAAAGGATCGAGCGAACTGTGCCGGCAAGGACGCACAACCGAATGATATTATCACACGAGGATGGCTATTGCATGCTACTTCTGCGACTATGCTCACTCAGCAGCGGACCAGGTCCAGCTTGGGAATCGAGCTCATCTAGCATTGTTTTGTTCAGACGCTCAACGCGTCGTGGCATCTCCGGACGCCTCTCTTTCTTTCCCTCTCCCGGCGACGGCGACGCCGACGACGGCCACGTCCTCCCCTCGTCAAAATCAGCCCCTCGGCCCCTCATGGAGCGCGGTCGTGGCCCAGATGTCGGGGCGGATCTGGCCGTAGCTGCGAGGAGGCCCCCCGAAAGCCCAGAGCGCGGCGAGGGAGACGGCGACGGCAATCGACGGCGGCGGCGCCGCGTTGGAGGACCGCCTCCTGGCATGCCGCCGGAGCGATCATCGCCCGGGCCAGCCGCTGCGCCCCCGCCACCCCCGCCGAAGCCAGCGGAGCGGTCGAAGGCGGGCGGCGGTGGTAATATCGTCGTCGTCGTTGTCGCCCTCGCCGCTGTGGCCGCCACCGTCGCCGTCCTCGTCGTCGTCCTTGTCGCCGCCGTCGCCGACGTCGTCGTCGTTGTTCGTGTCGTCGTCCTTAGCGCCCTCGTTGTCGCCGTGGTCATCATCGCCGTCGTCTATCGCCGTCGCCGTTGACAAGTTGTCGTCGCCGTGATCGCCATCGCCCGCGCTGTTGTCGTCGTCGTCGTCGTCGCCTTCGCCGGCCTCGTCATCTTCGTCGCAGACGCCATTGCCGCCCCCGCCGAAGCAGGCCGAGCTGCCGAAGGCGGGAGGCACGGGGGAGGAGGGACAGCAGGCCCGGATCTGCAAAAGCGCTGCGAGCAGAAAGGCGACGAGCGCCCTCCAGGACTGGGCCTGCCTGGAAGATTCTGGCCAGCTGCCCTCCAGCAGCTCCCGCACCACAGGTGCCTGGGGCCCCTCCCGCGAGCCTCGCGTGCCCCTCCCGCGCGCGCCCGCTCGCTCCCTGGGCACGGCGCGTGGGCAGCGCTACCCTTAGGTCGGGCCTGTCCCCCTACAGGGCGGATTTTGGACGAAAAATGGAAAATACTCCACAGATGTTCCAAAAATGTCCAAACATAGTGCAAAAATCGTTCCCCGACTATTGTTGAGCGTTCCTCCTGTAGAGGGACAGACCCGACTTCACGCTGCCCCCAGGAAGCCTCCTCCGAGCGTGCCCGCTCACGGCCGGTGCACTTCGCGCTGCCAGGCGGTGGTGACCAGGGCTCGGCAACGTCCGGCCGACATGCGCTGCGTGCTGGCTCCAGCTCGTGGTGGCCTACGTTGTGCCGAATGTATCGCGCCTGACTCGCGTCTTCCATCTGCGTGCGCGAGCATCGCGTGCCCCTCCCGCGCGCGCCCGTTCGCTCCCCTGGGCACGGCGCCTCAGCGCTGCTCCCAGGCGTGTGCACGCTCGCGGCCGGTGCACCATCGCGTGGCCGGCGGTGGCGCCAGGGGTGTCGGCGAGGTCCAGCCTGCATGCGCTGCGTGCTGACTCAGCTCGTGTTGGCCTGCCTTGTTCAGTCGATCGCCAACATGGATCAAGGGGGCGTGGATTAGCGACGGGTCCCGCTTCCATCGCGGATTTCCCCCGCCGAAGGAGGCGGCACTGGCCGCATTTGGGGGAGGGCACCTCCTCCGATGCATGGATTTGGCGACCGCGCGCCAAATCCACGGATCGCTACTCCATGTTTGCGCGCCCCCGAACGTTGTCCGAGCATTTTCTTATGTTGGGGGGCTCAGGGTGAAATCCATATGGACTTTCGCACTTCGAGAAATCAATCCGTCTTGTCATCCACCTCTTGCAGATTCAGACCTCGAATATAAATCGAAACGGCATTCAAAATTTCACTCTCTGCCCTCCACCCAAAGAAAATGCTCGGGTTGTGCCGAATGTATCGCGCCTGACCTACGTCTTCCGTCTACGTGTTGAGGTCCGTGTCAGAACTCTGCGGGCTGCGCGCTGCGTATCGGGATAAGCAAGGACCGAGAGGGCGCCTCCCTCCCCAGACCTCCGGCGCCGTGGCCTCTTCGCCACGTGGGCCCCCCTCGGAGGTTCGGGCCCCTTCCCTGGGGCCGGCTGCTCATCCTTCGAGCCTTGGTGTGTCGCGGCCTGGGCGCCTGGCAGGGGCCGGGCAGGGGCCGAAAGAGGCCCAACGTATCCGTCGTGAGTCTGTGCACGGCGCGAGGAGGCCTGGGTCCCTGTGCTGCCTCCCGGGGCGGAGGCAGGGCGTCAGGCTGCGCCACGCAGGGCCAGCTCGGCGGGGCCTCCTCGGGTCGCCGAGGCCGGCGCTGCTGGAGTGCGGGCGCCCGCGGCAGCCTCACGTCGGGGTTCGCGTCGGGGCCTCGCGGCGGGCTGGGTCCGAGGGAGCGGGGGTCGCCATGAAGCACACCTAGGCTTCCGAGGACATGACTGTTTCAATCCAGGCGGTTTTTCCTTGACCTCGGCCTCCGGGGCCCGTCCTTGGGCCCCGGTGCCATCAAAAATGGATACGGGCCGGAAAGCTCCCCTGGGGGAAGGAGTCGGGGCTTCTGGGGCCGCGGATGGAGCAAGAAGGTGTCTCACCGATGTCGGGCTCACGGGGCCCCCCATGGGCCCCGGGACTGTCCAAAAACAGTTCGGGGTAAAACGAAGAGCTGGCCCCGGGGGGCAGGTGTCTCTCTGGATCCAGGCCCCGTTTCCCCAGGGCCCGCCTGCCTCACGCCAAAGGAGCGTGGCGCGAGAAGGGGCAGGGGCTGGCAAGGAGAGGGAGAGGGAGAGGCACGAGGAGTGGGCGGGACGTGGAGGGGTCGGGTAGGGGATCGACTACAGAATCGATTCACCCCAAATTGGCTTTCCTCGTCGAGGCAGACGTAGAAAGCAAGTAGAGTTACGAACATTCTCCGCACTTCTCATGGAGTCGACGAACAAATCGATTTCGGGGTAAATCAATTCTGTAGTCGATCCCCTGCCCGAAGGGGAGGGGCTGGGCGATCAGCTAGGGGTGTGATCCGGCAGGCCGCGGCGGAGTCAGACGGCTCCGACGTGGACGTGGCGAAGATCTCGGAGCAGATCAACCTGGACGACATCTAGGACCAGGCCACGCCTGCCTCCTTCCTTGGCCACGCGCAGAGGGGGGTAGGGGTAGGGGGGAAGGCGCGGGCCTTGTCTGTAGATGTAAGGCCGCGCCCTTCTAAGAAGCAGCCTGTTTCTAAGAAGCCTTCCCTCCTCCGCTTACCGCCTTGTGCGCGCCGCCAATTTTCTTCGGGCAGGAGATCGACTACAGAACTGAGTTACCCCACACTTGGCTTGTTCGTCGAGTCCACGAGAAATGCATCGAAGGCTCGTAGACCTACATCCGCTCGACGTATTTCCTCGTAGGTTCGGCGAACTTTCCAATTGAGGGGTAAGTTCATTATGTAGTCGATCCCCTACTCGATTTCTGAGCGTGTCCTTTTCCCTGTACCGCCCTGATCGCTTGGCTACCCACTTGCCGCATTCTTCCACCAGGCCGGAGATGGCCCCAAGGAGGTCTCGAGATGGCCTTAGGGGGCCCCGTGAACCCTCCGGGAAGGTTGCAATCAGCCGCCCTCGGAGCTCCGAAACATTGAACAGTGAATTGTTCCCCGACCTTGTGGAAGGGGTTACCGCTTAGCGTTCCGTTCCCCTGATTAGAAAGCTCTGGAGGGGCGGGGGCGATGGCCCCCAATCGCCACCACATGGGACCGACCGCAACCAGTTTTGATCGACCTTTCTGGTGGCGACAATGTTGGCGTCATTCAGTACAAAAGTACTAGCGGCCGTGCCGTCAACACAGCTTCAGGATAGAGTGAACTGCCTTACGCGGGCGTTTCGAATTTTGACAAAACAGGTGGATTCTGGTCAGTCAACAACGATAACGAACTAATTTCCCGAATTGTATTCCTCTGCAATGAGCTAGAGCAACCTACGAATCTTATATTCATTCAGAAGTGGCGCTGTTGAGAATGATTGGAGTCGTAGCGAAGTCTGGCTACCTGCTGGGAGTGTTTCCAACTATGCATGCTGTTGGTGACTCTTGGAGCTGACGAGTAGACTTGTAGATTCTTCGGCCGGATCCTACGAACTGCGGTTCTTTGCTGAAGTGGTGTCGCGTTCATGACGTTGCACGTATCCCCACCAGCTACCTGCTTGTTAGCTGTAACCTTGGACGGCGCGCGGCCCTTCTGCTTGCTCTCGCGATCAAAAATCCCCACCAGCCCTTCAAGAAACGATGCCAGTATGGCCCATGGCCCACGCGAGCTGACGAGAAAAGGGAGGAAGAAGCACATGTAGCGCAACGCGGCTGGTAGCAAGACAGTGTCGCCGACCGTCGTTCCGCCGCGCGGGGCGGCCCTCTCGAGCAGATTTGCGCCAAGGGGATAGCATGGCTCAGCGTTGGTGACGTCGCCTTTCTCTTCAGGTTTACTGTTGATGCCTCTGTCGAGTAGCCCAGACGCTGAGGACAAGTAAGTGACTTCATCTGATGTTTCGGGGTCAATCTCTTCAGTTGTCCTCCAACTGTTCCACAATTCCGCTGGAAAACAAAATGCGCCGATGAGATATCTGATGTTGCAAAGCCGCCCTGGGCCCGGCATTCATCGGCTAGGGCCGCCTGGGCCCCCCCATGGGGCAACCGTATCGTCCATTTGGCGTCATGTGCGGGCGCCCCCATATATTTAGCGCCCCTGGTTGGCGCCCGTTGCTTCTCACCAAATCGACCCTCTGCCTTTTTGAGAGAGTGCGTGTGTGTGACCAGGTTTTTTCAGTGTCCGCTTTTTTCCACCCACGGGGTGTTGTGCGTCAGCCCAGGAGCTGCTCGCTCACCGAGCCAGCGCACCCTCCTGGCCGTGCCCTGCACCCCCAGCCCAGCTCATGACATGAACTCTGGGTACGCCTTCACCCGCCCCGAACCGCCCCCCCACCTTGTCCGGCGAAAGCTTATCACTTCCCGCCCTTGGAAGTGGTATCCCCCGCCCCTAAATTTCAACATGCTGCTCTCGCCTTAGCGCCGCGCACATTCTGTTTACAAGCTTGCAACAATTTCACGAATGGAGGGCGGGTCCTTTTTCTCCTCAGAACGTGACTACCGCTTCAGCGTCGCGCAGATTCGTTTTCGAAGTTTGCAGCAGTTTCACGAACGGAGGGCAGGAGTGTGACTCTCGCTTCCGCGTCGTACATTTTCGCTTTGAAATGTTGCAAGAGTTTCACAGGTGGACGGCGGGCACTTCTCCGAATGTGGATCTCACCTTAGCGTCGCGCGCATTCGTTTCAAAAGTTTGCAAGAGCTTCACTCGTGGAGGGCGGGTCTATTTCAGAATGCGATTCGAGCCTTAGCGTCGCGCGCATTCGTGTGAAAAGCTTGCAATTGTTACAGTGACGGAGGGCGGGTCCTTTTTCAAATTGCGGTTCTCACCTTAGCGCCGCGCGCACTCGTCTTGAAAGTTTGCAAGAGCTTTACGGATGGAGGGCGGGTCTTTTTTCAGAATCTGGCGGTCGCCTTAGCGTCGCGCAGATTAGCGTTGAAAGTCTGCAGCAGTTTCACTGGTGGTGGGGGGGGCGGGTTCTTGTAAGAGTGTGGCTCTCGCCTCAGCGTCGCGCGCAGTCGTGCGAAAAGTTTGCCAGCGTGTGCGGATGGTGGGCGGGTCCCTTTTCAAAAGGTGGCCCTCCAGTCCGCGCTGCGCACAATTCGTCTCGAACCCCTTGGAAGAGCTTCGAGGGTGGAGGGCGGGCCCTTTTTCAAAAGGGGGGCTATCGCACCAGCGTCGCGCACACTCGTCTCGAAAGCCTGCACGGGCTTCGAGGATGGCAGGGCGGGTCCTTTTCAGAACGTGGTTGTCGCACCAGCGCCGTGCGCATGCGTTTTAAGAGTTCGCAGGGGCCTCATGGATGGAGGGCGGGCCCGTTTTCAAAATGCCGCTTTCGCCGGAGCGCCGCGCACATTCGCCTTAGACCCTGCAAGAGCATCACGGGTGGAGGGCAGGTTCTTTTCAGGGTTTTGAGGGCCGCAACGTCAAGTAATGCACTGTGGCGCAAAGCAGGTTCCTCAGTATTCGTGCGCGCGCGTGCGCGCCCTCTCGCGCCGCAATGCAAAACAACAAATGAATAATAGCCACCTGAACCTCGAAAGCTGAATGGTTGAAAGCAGCCGTTTTACTCGTATTCTCAAGGCGCCAACGTGAAATCGTGCCCAGCGGCATTGCGCACGTTCTTTGCGCGTGCGTGCGCGCGCTCTCGCGTACGCAAATGAAGAACCAATGAATTAGATCTATCTGTACGTCGAAAACTGACTGGTGAAACCCGGCCGTTTCCTTCGTAGTTTGAAAGCGTCGACGTCAAAGAATGAATCGTGGCAAAGCGCTCTTTCCTCATTGCCCGCGCGCGCGTGCGCGGTCTCCCGCGTGCGCAATGCAAAGACAATGCACGAACTACAATATTACACTCGAGTATTGAATGGTGAATGCCACGTGTGCTACACGAATTCTGAGAGCCCCAGCATGGAATAATGCATTGTGGCGCAACGCGATCTCCTCAGTGCCCGCGCGCGGACATGCGCGCGCGTCCGCGCGCGTGCGTGCAATCAGGAACAGTATTGCGGCAGCGTGAAATTTTCTTTGTTGAGGCCCCCAGAATACGAATGCAATAACGGGTGGTCACCATTCAGTTTACGAAATTAAGATGGCAATTCGTTGTTGTTTTCGGTTTGAATTGCGCGTTCGCCCTGGAGTTGAGGAAAGCACGTTGCGTCACAATTCATGATTACACGCTGAGGCTTCTAGAATACAAGTGGAGCACGTTGTTTGCATCACTCAGTTTTCGAAGCTGAGGTGGTGAGTCGTCATTTGTTGTTTTGCGCGCGCGGGGGCGCGCGTACGCGCTCGCACTAGCAATGAGGACGGCGCATGGTGTAGCACTACATTGTGCCACGTTGAAGCTATCAGAATGCTCGTGACGCACTTGGTGTGTGTGGGTGACGCATGCGGGCGGTGGCACTGTGGCCTTCGGTGAAGCTCCCCACGGGGCCTCGAAACGTGTGAGGGGTGTGCCGAAATGGGTGTGGGTGACGCATGCGGGCGGTAGCACTGGGGCCTTCGGTGGAGCTCCCTATGGGGCCACGAAACGTGTGAGGGGTGTGCCGAAATGAGTGCAGGTGACGCATGCGGGCGGTGGCACTGGGGCCTTCGGTGGAGCTCCCTATGGGGTCACGGAACGTGTGAGGGGTGTGCCGAAATTGGTGTGGGTGACGCATGTGGGCGGTGGCACTGGGGCCTTTGTGAGGGGTGTGCCGAAATGAATGTGGGTGACGCATGCTGGCGGTGGCACTGTGGCCTTCGGTAGGGCTTCCCATGGGGCCACGAAACGTGTGAGGGGTGTGCCGAAATCGGTGTGGGTGACGCATGCGGGCGGTAGCACTGGGGCCTTCGGTGGAGCTCCCCATGGGGCCACGAATCGCTGTACTGGGTGGGTGAAACGCAGAGTGGAGGGAGGAGGAGGAGGAGGAGGGAGGAGGAAGGAAGGAGGGAGGGGAGGAGGGAACGCGGGGACCGTCTTTTCAAAACAAGGACCCAACACCACAGGATGGCTGGGAATAACATGAGTGGTGACGCAAGGAGAACCGCGATGGTTCGTACAGGCGGTGGGACAGATGCTTCCCAGGAAAGCGGGAAGAAGCCAACCTCACCGAGCTCCTTGTGAAAAGCCTTACAGAGTCCGCTGGAATCTTGAGGACACCTCTGGGGTCCGCGCAAACCCCCAGGAGTCCCAAGGAACCCTTAGGAATCCTCGGGGATCTTAGATGAATCATGCAGGGATCGTCATCTTCAGGAGTCCTTCTGGAGTTGGCACGGGATCTTGCATAGGAATCCCCGAGAAACTTGTGAACCGTCAGGAAGATTCAGAAACCTACCGGATGCCGAACTACGAAGGGAGGAGGATGTGGGGGGGAGACATTTGTGGCCAGAACGATGCCCCGGTTGTTGCGTGGCCTCTGGGATCCTCACGTAACCCCGGCATCTGGAGGAAATTTCAGGAATCTGAAGGGATCCTCCTGGAAACCGGCCGGGCCCTCCTGGAGTCCTCGTTCAGTTCGCAGGGTTCCTTCCAGAATCTGACTCCGCTTGAAAAGAATCCTTCGGAAAACGCCAGGTGTTTTCAGAAACCACTGGTCATCCGCCGAAGCCATGACAAATCCGAAGTATCTATACTTCTGGCATCCTCCCCGGATATTTCAAGAACCCGTCAGGAATCTAAAGGAATCGTAGGGGCGTTTCAGGACCCACGAGGCGCTTTCAGGACCCCGCAGGGTTCCGCTATAATCTTCGGGGCCGCAAGGGGAATAGAACAACCGGCCGTGTTCTCGACACGTTGCGCGTTGCACTGAGTGCCATGCTAAGACGGGGGTTGGATATAAAACGCAAGTTCGTGCGAGTGGCAAACAAGGCGCTGAAGGGTGATATTGATGGTTATACACTCACGCTCGCATTGCAAAAGCACCCTCCACCTCCGTCCGCTCCTCCTCCTCCTCCTCTTTTTCCTGTGATTGCTTTTTATTTCGCCCCTTCTCATCCTTCTCCTCCTCCTTCTCCTCCTCTTCCTTTTACAATTCACTGGGGAGTTGGGTCGTCCAGCAAGGGGGCCTAGCGTGAGTTAGTCTAGGGAGGAAAGGAGAATGGGGAGGAGGAGGAAACGTGACCTGCGCGGCCTCGTTGCCGTGAGGTTTCCAGAGTGATCCCGGGAGGAGTTCTTTGGATTCCTCGGGGGTCCCGAAGTCTTCCCTGAATTTTTTGTCACAGGATTCCTGTGGAATTTCGGGTTGTGGATCCCTGAGGATCCCTGAGGGTGCCTGAAGGATTCCTGGGGGGTCCTGATGGATTCGTGATGGATTTCTGCAGTTTGTTGACTGGTTTGCGCGGGGTCCTGTGGGATTCCCGCTGGTCCCTGAGGATTCCCGCTGCTGCGGTTTCCTGAAGAAAGATTATTGCAGGATGCCTGACCATCCCCAGCGGACTCCTCATGGACCTCCGATGATTCATAAAAGGATGGTCGGTTATCCTTGGATGATTCGTGAGGCCCCCGAAAGATTCCTCAGGGCTCGTGCTGCGGACTTCTGAAGATATTCGGGGAAATCTGAACGATTCCTGAAGATGTCCTGAGGACTCCTGCCAGTTTTCGAATAAGTTGAAGATTGTTTCACGATTTCTGAAGGATTCGTGAGGGTCCATACTGATTCCCCAAAAAGGTTCCCAACCATTCTGGAGAACACTCTGCTTCTACCCAAGAATTATGTATTGATGGTGCCTACGATCGGATTCCGGCGGATTCCCGGAGGATGCTTCCGTATTCTTGCGGATTCTTGCCCGTTGTTGAAGGATCACTGATGATTCCTGACGGGTTCCTTATGTTGAATGGAGAGCTTGAAAAACCCGTCGGGTTTTCTAGGGTCCCAAATGTTTCCGAAAGATTCCAAGAGATTCCTGAGGATTCTTGTGGGGTCCCCGAAGGACTCCTGATGATTCCTGCAGGTTTACTGCGAACTCCTGGAAGATCCGTGAGGATCCCTAAGGGCTCTCCCAGATTTCCTCCAGGTTCCCTGTGGGCCCTCTCAGATTGTTGAAGTTCGTGGATGAGTCCACAAAGATTTCGGAAGAGTTCGTGAAAGATTCCAGAGGAGTCTTGCGGGACCCTTGACAGATTACCGACGATTCCTGGGAATTCGTTGCTCCCCTTCCCCCGTGAGGAAAGTAATCAATCACGTTGCGTGCTCGCGATATCGTTCCGTGGTCCACCCCCCTCTGGAATGATTGTTTGGGCTAACGATAACAGGATGGTGTCGATAAGTGATGCTTAAAGTTATCACAACTATCATCGCTGTTCCCATCTTGCTTCCCTCCTCCTCCTGTTCCTCCTCCTCCTCCTCCTTCTCCTGCTCCTCCTCTGTACTCTGCTCCCTCCTCCTCCTCCTCCTCCTCCTCCTCCAACTGGGGCAGTGCACGGAGTTGTTTTGAGGACCGGTTGAACAGACATCGGCCTGAATGAGAACAAGTACGGCGATGTCAGCGCGGATGATCGAGTTTGAATTGACCAGCTATATATCTATCTATGTATATACATGTTTCCAGACTTGAACGATCTCCGATGTCGGAGAGAGGCGATCGTTCAAGATTGGACGACCCATTAGGCGTCAGAAGCCGATGTCCGTATCATCGTGACGTGAGTTCGCCGTAGGGAGTCCTAAGTAGGGCCTCGTCTTCGAAGAATCAAGAAATGACACTTCGCCCTCGGCGGAGTCTGGTGCAAGGCCAACGGAAAACAGCGGAAGTAAAAGTTATCGGCAGCCTGGTTGGCAGAGGGTCGGCGAAAGCCGGCAGAAATGCGAAGGACACCCTCCGAAGAAGCCAGCAATGGCGCACCCGGGGATCTCGGAGCCGGGTAAACAGATTGGGTGCAGCGGGCGCGAGTGAGCAGGCCCGTGTCCGTAACAAGTTTGGCTCGTGTTGCCGCCCTTGCCATGGCGGTGAAGACGCTCCTGCGAACGCGGGCGGTGCTCGACCTATGCTGTGGGGATGTGGTGCTCCCGAGTGCGCCGCCCGCGCTGGAGGAGACGCCCGGCGCACAGGAGGCTGCCGCGCAGTGCAGGCGGCACTTGCTCGTTCTCCAGGCGAGGTTCGCCACGGGTGGCATCGACCTCGGGGTGGATCGAGTCTTGGCGCTGCTGGGCGGAGGGCAGCACGCCGCCGCCCAAGGACAGGGCCGCGCCTCGATTGCCAGGGAGCGCGCGCGCTCGACCCCTCCGCCTCGAAACTCCAGCGCTGGCCTGGAGGACGGCGTGTCGGGTGGGTCACCCACCCTTCGCACGCTGATCGAGACGCTAGCAGTCAGCGCAGGCCTCATGCACCGCTGGGCGAGGGAGGACGACGGAGAGTCCAGCGCGCTGCGGGTGGTGCTCCACGCGATCGAGGACTGCCTGCAGACGGCGAGATCTCTGCCCCTGCCGGGCTCCCCGGCCCTCCGCGGGCCCAGCGTTGGCTCCCGGACTCCAGCGGCACGGGCGGCGCAGCGGGACGACGTGCACAGGCAGCGGTTCTGCGAGTTTCTCAGCCGCATCGCTTCCAAGGTGAGGAACTTGCCGCCAGGCTCGGGAGACGAAATCTATACATATCCACTGCTCCCTGGCCAGGCCCATCCTGAACCCAGGAGTTGTGTATACGCCCTCCTGGCCAAGCTAGGAGGGCGTGGCGTATACACCTGCTGGATTCAGGATGGGCCTGTCCAGGGAGCAGTGAATATGTATTGATTGCGTCGCTCTACAGGCGGCCTCCTCGTGATGCCGGCTGGCTGGCTGCGTGCGGACTGCGCGACACAGGGCGCGGAGGCCGTCAGCGACGGGGGCCATTGTTTGCTGCTGGTGGTTGTCCAGAATCCTTCGGGCGGCGACTTCTCAGTGGCCGTGGTCAATTCTGGAGAAGGCCTGCAGTACCACCCAGCGCGCTCCTCTGGGGCCGCGCCGCGGCCAGATCTGCCCGTCAGGCAGTCGCCACTGATCATCCTCGGCGTCCCCAGGGATCGCCTTGTCTGCAGCACTTTCTGGTACGTGCTCTACAGGCAGTTTGCGCACCCGGCCGCGAGCAATGGCCCCGGCCTGCTCTACGGGAGGCTGCTGCCCGCCCTGAACGCCCGTCCTCTCTCGGAGAACTTCGGTGCCGAGCCCGAAGGCTGGGTCGACTTCGCGCCAGTGCCGGTTGCGGGCGACGGCTCCTTCGTCGTGTGCGTGCTGCGGGCGATCCAGTTCTGCCTGCGAGCCGTCGGCCTCGGGGCCGAGCCCGCTGCCTGGTCCGGCGTGCGGCTGCGGCGCGAGCTGGTGGATGCGCTGTCTGGCGCCCTGGAGGAGGATCCGGAGGGGAAGAAACACAGAGGCCCAACGAATCGTCGATGCCGAGGGACATGTGGGAAGACATGGGAGGCGGGGGGGAATGCGAAAGTTCAGAAAATCAGAAAGATAGGGGGGATCCTGGGATGGGTGTCTGTGTAATTATGTGTCCCTGGGCCCCTTCGAGGAGGGGCCGGCCCCGGCCACGGGCGACCTGGCCCTCGCGAGGGAGGCCGCCGCCTCCCTGGCGCGCGCCTGCGCGGAGCACGCGGAGAGGCACCCGTGCGCGGAGGCCGCCAGGGGGCCCGAGCTGGAGGGGTGCGCCAGGCTGGTGGAGCGGGTGGAGGCGGCCGTGCGGCGCCTGGAGCTGGCGGAGCAGAGCGCCTGCTCCGTGCAGCCACCGCCGTGCGCCGCCGACCTGGTCTCGGGCGGCTGCAGCGAGTCGTCGGTCCAGTTCGGGCGATTCGAGCGCCTGCTGCGCGAGGACGTGGAGCACCTGAAGGGGCAGGCCAAGCCATCCCGCACGCTGGTCTCCGTCCCCACGACCATGATGCCCCGGGCCGTCCGGAGCCCCTCCGAGGCGGCGTCCTGCTGCAGGCTCGCGGCAAACCTCTTGAACCTCCTCGCCAACCAGCAGGAGCACGTGCCGCAGTCGGCCCTCGCCCGCTTCGCGCTCGTCTCGAATCTGCTGGCGCGCGTTCTGCCGATGCCGCTCCCGGTGGGCCACCCCGATCGACGAGCGCGCTGCTTCTGGACACAGGAGATGCTGTTCGAGACCAAGTTGGACCTGATGAGGCACCTCCATCTCGTCGCGCGGCACTTTGCTGCGGTCTGCTTCACGCTCCGCGCGACGCGCGAGACCGACGGCGCTCGCGTGGTTGTGTCTGCCGCCCTCGTCGTGCTCTTCGACGCCCTGCTCCGCTGCCCGGTTGCTGGACCATTCCACGGCGAGCTGGCGTCCTTGCACTACAGTGGCCGAGCAGATGGTCCGTGCCCCCCTTTCGGCATCGACGCCCGCGACTTTCGCAAGGCGTCAGAAACCCTGCTGCTGGTGGCACCAGAGAACCAAGCGTTGAGGAGCGCGGTCTTGGACTATCCAGCTGCCTGCGGCAAGTTCCGCCACTGCACCAGCGCAGCATTCTGTGTGGCGACGCTTCGAGCACCGCCAGGAAGGCCGTCACATGTGGCACTCCTCGTCCCGATGACTTGGGGTGCTCTGCGGGGCCCTGCATAGGCCGCCTTGGGGTTGTCTTGGGCTATTGCGAGGCCGTCTTGGGGTCCCCTTGGAACCTTCCTGGGCCGTCTTGGGTCCATCTTGGGTCTCTCTCGGCTGTCTGGGGAGTCTCTTCGGGCTGTCTTGGGAAGCTCTTGGGCCATCTTGGATCCCTCTTGTGCTGTCCTGGGCCCCTCTTGAGCTGTACTGGCGCCCTCGTGGGGCTGTCATGGGCCGTCCCTGGGGGGCTTGTTCGGGCCCCCATTGAGCTCTTTAGGCTTCTCTTCAGCGCTCCCAAGGCCAGATCGGAATGATCTTGAGCAGCGATGCGTGGGAAACCCCAAACCATTCAAGACTTCACTACACTGACACAGCGACCCTAAACAGCAACGCTGCATCAGAAGACACGTGGCGTGTGAAAGCTGGGCACGGGCACGGCACGCGGGCACGCGGGCACGGCACGCGCGCACCACAGGACACGGCATCCCACGGCACACCGACGGCACGCTAGAGCTCAAGCACGGCGCGCACGACGCGGCACGCGCTTCTCGCAGTTCCGAACTCTGCCACGGCACGCGCACGACACGGCACGCGGGGCCTGGCACGTGGGCAGGGCACGGCACGGCACGTTTTTTTTCGAAGTTCGGCATTCGGACACCGCGCGGCGCGCTGGCACGGCACGGGCACGTGTCTGCCTCTTTACCACTCCTGCACGGCGCGCGCACGGCAGAGCACGCGGGCACTGCTCGGCAACTTTTTCGCATTCGAGAATTCCGGCGCGACGTGCGCACGGCACATGGTCTGCATTCTCAGAATTGAGAAGCCGTTTCTTCCACTGCACATGGGATCTTTTATCGCATTCGTTGTTTATGAGACAAGCTCCATGAGCGTTCGAGTAGCATTGGCGCTCGTTGAGGGCCTCTTAATGTTTTCTTTGGGGTATGGAAACTTCTTGGAGCCCCTTTGGAGCGTGTTGCCGTCTCCTTGAGAGCTGTTGGGCTCCTCCTGAGGCAGTGCCGTGGTGGCCGACCTGAACAATCTGGGAGGAGCCTCAGGGAGGGGTCGTGCGCCCGGGTGAACCTCTGGCCTGGGAGGAGGGGACGGGGGCACGTAAGTGGATGTAATGAGGCGGGGACGGGGGCATAGAAGATCTGCAGAGACCCTACCAGACAGCACTCGGCATCCTGCCGCGCCGCCTCGACGTGCCAAGGAGGCCACGGCGGCGGATTTCGACGGTGTCGAGCAGTGTGTCGCTAGTAGCCGCATGCTCTTCAGCTTCGACGAGTCCATGGCGTGCTCGGAGGCCGATGCTGGATTCACTGAGCAGCTCGGCCTCTGCATCGGGCTCGACCTCGCCAGGCAGGATCTGCCCCTGCTCATATCGGGCGAGCGGCCCGAGCTGCTCGACACGCTGCCGGAGCTGGGCTGGTTCCGCGACGTGGTATTCTTGTGGAAGATGCTACTCCTGCCAGCGGAAAGATCACCAGTCGAAGAAGAAATAACGGCATACACACAAATATTCGATGGCCCGCGCGAATGTCTTGAATCTGCGCTGGACCCCTGGCGCCACCCCTGGCGCGCTTCGCACGCCAAGGAGGGGGTCCAGCACATATCCAAATTGTCCGTGCGGAACGTCGAAAGTTTATGTTTATGCGTTTTTTCTTGCTCTAACCAGAGCGGAAACCTTGGCGTGCCAGCGACGCGATACTGCGGTGGACATGGGATAGGGACCGTTTCGTCGTGAGCGGTTTCGGAGGTGCGCAGCTAAGCCCGGCAAGGGCAGTGCGGAAAAATACATTTTTCGAGGGAGTGATGCGGTGGTTCGGGCGGTACAGCCCTGACGAGAAGGCCCTGAGCCGCGCGAGCCCGGCCGTGCTGGCTGGCTGCGCAGACCTCAAGTCCGAGGACGACGTCCTCTTCCTGGAGCGCCTGCCGAGCTTCAACGGCACGCTCGGGCCGACCGACAGCGAGCTGCTGCTCACCTACCTGACCGCTCCGTACCTGCGGGTGCCATTGTTGCTTGGATTCTTCGCCGAACGCCACCGCATCTCCCTGCTGCGGGAGCCGCAGCTCCAGGCGATCCTGGACGCCGCGCTCTTCGAGCCGGGACCCTGGCAGTCCGAGCGAGACGAGGCCAAAGGCCCCCCGACGATGGTGCCGGCTCCTGACCGCAGCCACTTGGGCACGCCCGCGGGCCTCCTCTTCAACGAGCTGCTGAAGGCCCCGGGCCCGGTCCTCGAGGCGCTGCTCTGCATGCTGCGCGTGGCGGTCGAGAAGGACGCCGGCAGGCCCGACTCTGCGAACGAGGGCCTCATCCTGTATTTGGTCAGGCTCGCCGTACGGGTGGAGGCATACCTCGCGTTCCTCCTCGAGCGCGGCGGGCACGGCGAGACTGCGGGGCGCAGCGGTGCGGGCCCCCTGGCCTTCCTGCGCGGGCTCGCGGGGGCGGCGAGCGAGAGGCTGCAGGCGGAGCTGCAGGCGGCCCGCGCGGCGCTCCGCCGCGAGCTCCAGGGAGACGTGCTCCACATGCTGCGCGGCTGGGTGTCCTATGCGGCGGTGGCCAGCCGCCGCGCGCGTCTGCTGCCCGCGGCGTGCCGCGCGCACGCGCACCTGGCCCTGCTGTTCCGCAGCGTGGCGCCGGAGAAGCTGGGTGCCCAGGAGGTGTCCCGCTGCCTCTCCGCGCAGGTGTTCCTCGGCTTCAACCACCGCTGGCAGGACACCGACAGCAAGGACGCGGAGGATCGCCTCGGTGTGGGCGAAGTCGAGCTGTTCGAGGCGTTCGAGGCCAAGCGGAGCGGATTAACCCAGTGGCTCCGCGACCGCGCTGGCCCCGAGGCGGACGAGGTGCTCGATCAGGTGGAGCAGGTTGTCACGCTGCCGAGCGGAACCGAGGCCGGCGCCGCGAGCCCAGAGGCGCCGGTCACGCCGTCGGCCCAGGCCAAGCGGTGGGTCGAAGCAGGGTCGCAGCAGGGCGACTTCGTGCCGAGCCGGGAGGCGGCCCCGCCGGGGTGGTTCAAGCCCCGGCCCGAGGAGGCGTTCCGGCCATGGATGAAGCGGGTCACCCAGGGCCCACCGGGTAGCAGCAGGCAGGTGTCCCTCAACCTGGGCCAGTACGGCTCGAGGCAGGAGGGCCTGGAGCTGCTGCCCGTCTGGGTGCTCCGGTCCGAGGACTACGTGCAGGCCTTTGGCAGGACCGACGCGCACTGCGTCGAGCGCGAAGTGGCAACCGAAAGGGTGTGGAAGGAATTGGTTGGCCATGGCCACTCCCTGCAGCTCTGGGAGCCTGATACTCGCGGGCTCAGTGGCGACGCGATGGCGCAGCCGTGGCTCTCCGACCGCAGGTACGGCCCGAGTGAGCTCAGGAGGGACGAGGCCTGGGTACGTGACATCCTCGAGCCTATCCGGGCCAGCGTGCCATCCATCGGTGACATTCCACTCTACGTGAAAGGTAGGATCCCGAATGGACCAGACGCGGAGGTCACACTGATGGGTGTGGTGGGGGATGACGGCCGAGGAAGCCATCCGGCAGGGCAGCTCAAGGAGATTCGCGTGCAGCGCTCCCCAGCACTCGTGGAAGTATACAACGTGGTGGAGTACGGCCGCCAGTTTTATCGAACGCTTGTCTTCACCTCAAATGCCATGTGGTCTTTCTACACGCCAAGCACTGGGGAGCTGCTGCTCTACAGCGCGTCCACCTCGAGCTCCACTCTGGCTGCAGGCGAGGCTGGCGCAGTGGCGGAGGCTGCGAGGAGCGTGCTGGTCCTGCGGAGGCTGGACGACAGGCTCTCGAAGCAGCTGCACGTGCCGGCGCGCTTCCTCCGGGGCCTGCTGCCGGAATGCCTCCTGGAACGGTACACGTTTTGGCGCTGCGAGGCTGGCAGCCTGGCAGGGTGCATCGTGGGCGACGAGCGCGACGGGGCATGCGACAGTCCAACGAGGGTGACCTTGTCGATCAAGCGGGCAAAGGACGGCGTCGCCGCCGCGGCCACCATTCGGCGCTGTGCGCTCGTGGCGCCGCCAGAGCACGTCGGTCCCCGCGGCCGTGTACCAATTGCGCTCTGGCCAGAGGACCCCGCCTCCAAGCCTGGGGTGCTGGTCAATCTGCAGCGGGGTGCCCACAAGCTGATGCACTTGCTGGCTAGGCTAGACAACCTCTCGCACGTGCTCGCCTGGACCAGCGACGACGGAGGCGGCCTGCTACGTGTGGAGTTCCCGCGTCTCCGTCTCTCCTTCACGCGCAGGAATGACCAGCTCCATTGCGACCAGCACCGCGGGTTCTGGCTGATGGACCGGACGTGCCTGGCCGCCACTGAGCGGCTCCTGGCGCATTGGGGCGGCGGCACTTTGCTTCTTGTGAACGTCGCCGGCGAGATGATCGTCCTTGCCTCTGCCGTGGCCGAGCCGATACGCCCACGCCTGGGCGACTTCGGGGAGGGTCTGCTGCCCTGCAGGCTGGTCCTCCGGCGCGGCGACCCTGGCTGGGTATCGAACCTCGAGGAGGGCTGCCGGCACTACTACTACCGCGTCCACCCTGCAGGGACCTTCGCGCTGGCGCCGACCCTGGCCGCGGGGCTGTACCTCCTCCTCTGCCGCTTCTTCACCTGGCACTTCGCCGAGATCGTCGCGATGGCCCGGACGGTGTCGGAGGTCGCCAGCAGCGAGGAGCGGCAGCTCTGGGACCGCCTGCACCTGCTGGCCGCCGCCCCCTACCACGCGGACGCGGTGGCCTGCTGCCTCCACCTCGCGGACGCCACTGCGCCCTTCACCGCCGAGGAGCCCGACGCGGTGTCCTGGGACCTCAGGCGGCTGCTGCTGGAGTACGTGCGGAAGCGGCACCTCGTGTCCGCGGACTGCGCGCTGCCGCGCGAGCGCGAGCTGGCCCTGCTGGACTCGCTCCTCCAGGGAGCCTCCAGCCAGGCGGTGTCCCTCGAGCACCCGGTCGAGCTGGCGGCGCGGCGCGTGGTCCTGCAGGCGATGCTGAGGGAGGCCTCCGAGGGCGGCGCCAGAGCGGCGTCGTCGTTGCAGGTTTCGGTCCCCAACCACCTGGGCCCGGGGACTGCCGACGCCGGCTTCGACCGCGTCGTGGACAGGTCCTTCACGGAGGACGCCCGGCTCCTCGAGAAGATATCCGCGACGGTTCAGGACGTGGCCTATTCCCGCCCCGAGGCATCCAACATGCAGGGCACCGAGGCGATCGGCTTCCTCGACGACCTCCTGTCCCCGGGCGCGATTCTGACCAGCGTGCCCTTTGCACTTCTCTACGAGCTGTTCACGAAGACCCTCCGGGTCGAGGTCGTGGTGGGTGACGACGGCGCCGCGCTCGCCTCCATCCTCCTCAGGGTCGTCGCCCAGGGCGCCACGAAGAGCACCAGCACCTCCGTCCTGAGGGCGCTGGAGCTCAACCCGGGCGTGTGCGACCAAATGCCCAAGTGGGGCTCTGGCGACCTGAGCTGGAGCTTCGGCATCGGGAGGTTCACGTTCGACAAGGCCTCCTCGTCCAAGCTGCAGAAGGCCGCCTGCCAGACGCTGAGACAGCTGCAGGGCTCGCTCGCCTGGCCGCGCGACTTCGGGAGCGTGCCCTCCGCGGCGAGCGAGGTGGTGGTGGCGGCCGACGTGGACCACATCCGGCACTGGACCGCACCCCTGACCGCCGACGTGCGGTGCGCCAGGCGGGCGTTCGGCGCGCGGCAGGGCGTCGAGTTTGGCGGCAGGCCGCTGGAGGCCCTCGCGAGCAGGTACGCCGTGGTGGAGAGAGAGGAGAAGAGCGGACCTGCGCAGGGCGCTCTGGACACGCAGCGTGCGCTCGAGCAGCTCTCCAAGGACCCGCGACTGCAGTCCCCGATCTGCAGGCATTCTCTCGAGCGCTTGCTGCATGATCTGCAGCTGGTGAACAGTTCCCCGACGGCACAAGTGCACCTGGGCCCCCCACAGAAGCTCGCAGAGCGGGCGGCGTCTTTGTCAACCGAGCTGGCTGACCTGTGGGAGCAGGATGCGCAACAGGTGCAGGAGATGGTGCCACTCGTGGTCGAGGTAGCTCACAGTGGTAGCGCGCTGGCGACTTTGCAGCGGAAGGGCGGCTACCTCACGTTCGTCACCTTCAATTCGTTGATAGCCCTGCTGATGGCAGAGGAGCCGGACGCAACCAGAGCCTTGCAGAAGGTGAACGCCACAATGTCCGACGAGGAGGTTACGACGCTCTTCGAGAAGGTTGCCACCGTGCTCTGTCACACCGTGCGCATGGGCCAGATCTCACGGGCGCAGCAAGCTTTGAGGGACCTGCTCGACGAGCTCCACAGCGGCAGTGGCGAGCTGGCGCTGGGCCTGCGAGCCCAAGCGGCGGCGCAGCAGCTGTGCCTCGGGAGGCACTGCGCCAGCGCTGCAGCGGAGGACGGGAACCCAGCGGCCCGCCTGCAGAGGTTGGTGAGGGGCCGTGGCAGCTCTTCCGGGAGCGACGCAGTGCAGGTTTGCTACGAGCCGAGGCTGTTGGTCTTCGAGTTTCTCTTCAACGTCTTGCTCAGGAAGTCGCAGGTGAAGCTGCTGGACACGTTCATGCGCTCCGCGGAGTCGGGCAAATCGGTGTGCCACCAGATGATCATGGGCGAGGGCAAGACGACCGTGATCGCCCCGCTTCTCACGCTGCTGCTCGCCGACGGTAGTAGGCTGCTGTGCGCCTGCATGCCCGCCTCGCTGCTCGACATGTCGCGCTCTGCAATGATTGAGCGCTTCTCCTCGCCTGTGCTGCCACGCCCGGTTCTGACGCTGCGCTTCCACCGCCAGACCCTCGTGAGCTCCTCGTTGTGTGCCAAGCTGGAGGCCGCGCAATGCAGCCGAGCGGCCGTAGTCGCGGCGCCAGCGTCGATCAAGAGCGTGCTCCTGAGACAGGTGGAGCTCATCCTGTCGTTGGGCGAGCTTCGCAAGCTGCGCTTGGCGGCGGATGCAGGCGCGGCGGAGAGGGCATTCTTCCGGCTGCCGGCCTGGCTCGGGGGCAGCAAAGGCGGTTCTTCGCCAGAGCAGTTTGGCGGCTTGGTGAACCGGCAGGAGAAGGCCAGGGCCGAGGAGGTGAGGGTCTGTGGACGGATCTTGGCGCTCTTCCACAGGGGCGTGCTGCTGCTGGACGAGGTCGACCTGCTCCTGGACCCCCTCAAGAGCGAGCTGAACTGGCCCCTGGGCCAGAAGGTGCCCCTCGACCTCACGGACAGTATCAGAGCCCCGAATCATCAAAGGTAACTCGGGTCAGGGCTAATTCGGGTTCGGCTTTTTTCGGGAATCCAAACCCGAATTACCCCAGGCACGAGTTACCCCGGATAACTCGGGCGCCCAAGGACATGGGCGCCGCAGCGAGGAAGCAGCAGGGGTTCCGCTACAGGCTGCCCTTCTTCCTGCTGGACGCCGTGTTGGCCGCGGCAGCTGGCCAGCCTGAGAGCGCGGTCTTCGCCGCGCGGAGGAAGGCGCAGGAGTCGAGTGGGGGATCGATTGCAGAATTGGTTTACCCAGAGTTGATTTCTTCGTCGTGTGCGCGAAAAAAAGGCGTCGAATGTTCGTAGATCCACAAACCTTCTCTGGCAGATCCGAGGAGAATTTCGAAATCCTGGGGGAGATCACTTCTGTAGTCGATGCCCCACTCGAAGGAGGCCCTGGTCCTCCTGACGCAGCGCATCCGGGCCGGTCGCAGAGAGCTCCTGTTGCAGACCTCGCCGCACCTGGTGCTGTTCTCCAGGGAGCACTACGCCAGGGAGCTCCTGCCTCCCCTGGCAGACTGGACCGCCCCGTACGTCGAGGCACATCTTGAGGGTGCGCTCGGCAGCGTGGACCTGCACCGCCTGCTGAAGCTCCGCGAGCCCGACGAGAGCACGCGGCAGGCGCTGCGAGGCGCGTCCGAACTTGCTCGAAAGATTATCAACCTGGCAATCAGTTGGCTGCACACGCTGCTCCCTTACATCCTGAGCAGGGTGCATCGCGTCTCCTACGGGCTCCTCACGGGCTCGCACCTCGAATCTGCTCGCGCGGGCGGCGGCTGCCCGCTCTCCCGCAGGCTGCTCGCCGTGCCTTTCGTGGGCAAGGACGTGCCGAGCGCCTCCTCCGAGTTCTCCCACCCCGACGTGACGATCGGCTTCACCATCATGGCCTACCGCATGAACGGGCTGCGCCAGGCAGACGCGCACATGCTCCTGAGGGTGCTCCTCGACGAGATGAGGGCCGAGAGCACCGTGCGGTACCACCGCCGCGCGGCCTGCCGGGCGTACGTGGACATGGTCACCCGCGCCGGGGGCGTGGTGCGCGGGTTCACCGAGGACGGCCGCTGGATGGCCGACCTGCAGGACGAGGAGCAGAGGCGGCGGCGGGACGCGCTCGCCAGGTCCGCCTCGCAGCGCGGGGCGGCGGCGGAGGAGGGGCAGCGGAGGGGCCTGTGGCCGCTGGAGCTGCTCGACCTGGCCGACCCGGAGCAGATGGACGTCCTCTTCGGCCTGCTGGGGCGCTCTGCCCTGGCGGTGCAGTACCTGCTGGAGCACTACACCTTCCTGGCAGGGACGCTGGAGCGCCACGAGTCGCAGCTGTCGGCTTCGGGCCAAGAGCTGGCGGGGCCGCAGCTCTTCGGACGCTGCCTCGGCTTCAGCGGCACCCCAAACAACTTGCTGCCGAAGCCGATGGGCCTCTGCGCGTACGCCCGGGGAGACGACGGCAGGGTCCTGTCGACGCTCAGCAATGCCAGCGTCGTGTCGGTGCGTGAGCTGGGGCCTTGGTCTCCACAGAGCTTGCTGGACGAGGTGGCCGCGGCCACGAACGGCGCTGGGGGGCCGAGGTACCAAGCGTTAATCGACACGGGCGCTCTCATCACAGGCATGACGAACTTTGAGGTCGCAAAGTATCGAAGACGCCTGGGGCGAATCGCCGCCGCCGCCCACCTTCTGGAAGCGCGAGCGCTACGGAATGTCGAGCGGACGTGCGGCCACGCGATTGGATTTCGTGTTCCCCCGGCCGTTGGGGAAACCACTGGGGGAACGCTGGGGAGGGCCCTCTGGGGCCGTCTTGGGGCTGTCTTGGGGCTCTTTTTGTCCGGCCTTCTTGAAGCGTTTGGGGCCGTCTTGGTCCATGCCCTCTTGGGCTGTCTCAGGGCACTGCTGGGCCGTCTGGCGCCTGCGGAGACAGTCTTTGGGAGATTTCTGGGCGCTTCAGGGCCGTCTTGAGGCTATCTTGCCCGTCTTGGGCCCCTTTTGGGCCGTCGTGGGGTCCTCCTGGAGACCTTCTGGGCAGACTTAGGTTGGTCTTGGGACCTCTTGGGCCGTCTTGGAGGCCACCAAGCTCAAAAAGCAAGAATTCAGATAAACCCGGCGCAACCCCAACAAGGGCAACGTTTCCTAAGCGGCATTGCTTGGCATTTCTGAGCAGCGATTGGCATTGCCTTGCCGTCCTTGGCGATGCACTGCTTTGCGTCGATGTGCGTTGCTTGGCGTTGCCAGACATTGCTTGGCATTGCCCGGCATGTCTTGGCATTGCGCGGCATCTCTTTGCATTGGTTTGCATTATTTGGCGTTGCTTGCCATTTGTTTACATTGGATTGCGTTGCTTAGCTTTGTTCTGCATTGCTTTGCATTGCTTGGCTTTACTTCATAGTGCTTGGCATTGCTTGGCGGTGCCTGGCACTGCGTCGCATATCTTGACATGGCTTGACATGTGTTCATTACGCTGCATTGCATCGCGTGGCATTTCAACGCATTGCTTCGCACTGTTACAAAAACAGTAAGGGAAACAAGACCAGGGAACCGGGGAGCCCGAGGAAAGTCGGCCCTCCAAAACCGTAGGGAAGCAAGGCCCATGGGGAACCCCGAGGAGCACGAGCTAGAGTGGCCTCTAAAAAGCAGTAAGAAAACGAGACCAGGGAGCCCGGGGAGCCCGCAGAAGGCCAGCCTTCCAAAACTCGGGGGCGTCAAAGAGGGGATGATGATTAGGGGTGGGTGGATATCATGGCGGGGGCCATGATGTTTCCTCAGATTGCATGGCACCTCTTCTTATTTGAAAGAGCATGTTCTACCGCTGCTGGCGGAAAACCGGGGGGGTCACTACCGGTTCGAACCCCTCCCCCCCCCCTCCGGAAAACCGGGGGGAGTCACAACCGGTTCGAACCCCTCCCCCTCCCCCCCCCAGTCCATCATGAAAAGGGGGGGGGTCACTACCGGTTCGACCCCCCCCCCTTCGAAAACCGGGGGGGTCACTACTGGTTCGAATCCCCCCCCCCCTCGAAAACCGGAGGGGGGTGCGGACAGTGGTGGGGACGGTGGTGGTGGGGACAGTGGTGAGGGGACAGCGGGACAGTGGTGGGGACAGTGGGACAGTGGTGGGGACTGGGGAGAGTGGTGAGGACAATGGTGGGAACAGTGGGGACAGTGGGACAGTGGTGGGGACGGTGGTGGTGGGGACAGTAGTGTGGGGACAGTGGAATGTGTGGACACACCTGGACAGTGGGAAGGGTACAGTGGTGGTGGGGACAGTGGGAAGGCGGTGGAGAGGACGGCGTGGACAATGAGGTGGGGAACAGTGTGGGACACAGTAGGTGGGACAGGGGACC